TAAAAAAAATATATATATATATATATATATATGAAAACATGAATGAAAGAAAAAGCCAAATAAAATGGCCTTGCAAGCAGCAGGAATACCCCAGCATATATTAAGAAAAGCAACAACTTAATAATATCAAAACAAAAGAAAGTAGATAACATCTTTGCATGACACAATTGATATGCAAATGGAACAAATCTTGTACCACATATTACTGTGAATATCAGGAAAATAATATTCAAAAAGGGAGGAAAATATATGCAAGGAATGAAATAACCATTATGCATAACATAGAAAGTTTGGTTGGGCCTATAAGCTTGCTTAATTTACTTGTATGGAGAAGAGAATAAGCAGACCCAAACATGCTCTAGTATCCTTGCTCAAACAAATTGTTATTTTCTTACAGAAAAGAAAAGAATCTAAACATTTGAAGTTACTGAAATTAGTAACCAACCAGCGAAAAGTAGAGTGGAAAGCAGACATTTCAAGATGAATAAGGTCATTTGTAATAATTGATAAGGATCCTATACTCAATGAGACACACCTGGCAACAGAGAAGAAAGTGCTAAACATTTCGTTAACGAGATCGTCACATTCAAGATCCAACATCACAACACACGATCTATATCTTGCAAGAGTTTCCAAGATTACAACTCTCCTTCCAAAAGACGGGCCATTTGTGTCACTTAAGCCACTGAAAGTACTGACAATCAACTGGAAGATATCCTGGAGCAGTTACAGCTGCAATTAACTTGTATAGAGACCAAAAAATTTCATGGAGATAAACAAAGTACCAACATCAAGCTGTTACATCTGTTGACTATTTGCTACAGAAGATAAAGTACCTTTAAAATATCATCGTCGTAAGGAGCATCAGGTGCAGTAATTCGAGTTATTTCACAGATACAGACAGCAACAAAAAGCTTGACCTCCCTATCTTGATGATTTAGAAGTTCTGGCTTGGCAATTGCAATAAGAAAAGGCTGCATGGACTCCAATACAGATTTTAGTGGTGACTGATCCAATTCAGAAAGATATGCTGCACCTTGCTGCATGTAAGGAAGGCATTGGATTACCATTACATAATCAATTAGAAGTCCAGCTAACTATTTACATAACCATAAAACCTCATCCTAAAGAATTTTGATTTAAAGAAATATTAATTTGAGCAGCAAACAATTAGAAAATGATTCAATAGTATAGAGATTCATTGCAATAACTATTTGGTGGATAAGACTCTCAACTGAGCAGAATAATGGAGTAAGATTTCAGTAATAAGTCCAGATGAATAAATTATGCTTCCAAATTTACCATCTTCATCTGCAATTCTGATACTAAGAACATGGAGATTCTTCCCTTGTTTCCGTCCAAGACTTGTAGCATGTTTGGCTGAGCTTACAACTTATAAGCACCTAATAAGCTTAGCTAAACATGCTCTTAAATATATAAATAGACCTGTTGAAATACACACGCAGGCATATGGAGAAGATAAATTTTGCAACTTTGGAAATTTGAAAAATGTACAATAGAAATTAATAGATGTCTATTCTTTTTGCTTAGGCCACAAAAAGAAACCCAGTATACACATACATGCTGTTAAAAACGTTTTTGAGGCAAGGTGAAGCAAAAATAATTAAGCAAGCAATTTCTACATTTTTTTTGAATCTTCACAGTAAACCTTCGTGATTCAAAAATGAGAAAAGGGCATAAATTTCACTGAGAGAGGGGGAAAGCAAAAGATTTAATTTTTTTCTTCTCTTTTTTTGCCAAACTTCTGTTAAAGTCTAGAATACAGACTCGACTCGCTTATTTTCTCCCCATAAAGAAACAAAGCATCGAGAGCAGGAATCATATTCCAAACCCAATTTACACAAAACAATACCTATCACAAATTACAAGCGGGCTTCCGCAAATGGAAACCAAGCAACAAAACTCAAAATTCACACGCAACAAAACTTCAAACAAAATAAAAAATTAAACATAAATTTCCACCTTCAATAGCTTAATGAGAGCGTCTTTAGACGCAGGGGGGTTATCGAGCTTCAATCCGAGCTCACTAAGCTGCTGCTGCAGCTTCTGAGCCATTGATAACTAAATTGTAGATACTTTTCTTCACAGTAAATGAAAGAGGAGATTAATCCGAAAGAGCATTTGGTGTTGGAACTAATTTGGGGATGTAACGAAAGGGTTTTTTACTTAGGTTGTCCGAACAAGAAAGCTCATGAGATGTCCACTCCCCCTTGTTTGACGTCTCATGCTTGACTTTTATCACCCCCATATTATCCATAAATTACTTTTTGGGACTGGAATTTTTTTAGCTTTTATGATCCTCCACTTTAGACTATTTGTCATTCTACCCACAATGTTATCTTGTTTGTTCATCGTACCATTGCCATGAAATATCATTAATGGCCAAGGTAACAAAGCCTTTGATAAAAGTTATAATAAAGTTAATGAAATATTTGATTAAAAAATTGATACGAATTCTGGATGTCATAAAATATATTATGGAAATTAAAATTTGACATATTGCTAAAATTTTAATAAAATCTTATCAAACAAATACTGAAGTTGCATATAATATATTACAAGAATTATTGAAATATTTGTTAAATTGTTACGTGTTCTTCTTAGAAATGGTTCAAACTTCTCGATCTCACTCCTATGTGGAGAAGCAAAACTTACAACCAGTCTATTAAGGAATTTAAGTATTTATAAGTTGAATTGCACATTTTTCAAGACTCGCAATTTTATTTATTTTTTTAATCCCATATCTCTTGATACACACTACTACTGATGAGAACTTAAAAACTTTGCCAAATAAACACTTAGCTTCGTGAAGTCAGATACTTGGATAGATAACAAGACAAATTAGTGGTGGAGCAGAGAGTAGTTTTGAAATCTTCTTCTAAAGCAAGATATAGGCTGGTTTAGTTATTGAGATCTAATTTTGCAATTATAAAATGTCGAAATTAATTTGCTTCCTTCTAAAATGATGGAGACCAATTTGCTATTGATGTAATATGCAGGGGACCGATAGTATAATTTTCCCGGAAAAATACAATTTTAACTTGCAAATTATCCTTTAATTTTAGATTAAATTTGGGCCAATACTATACTGCGCCCAAAATTAGCTCAAACTTCTAGCAGGCCCAGACTATGGTGGGCTACAGTATAGTTTTGGGCCATATCATCCCAATTGTGTTTTTCTTGATTCATCAATGACAATAACGTCATCTTCAAAGTCCCAGAGAGAGAAAGTACTGTTACAGTACCATAGCAAATGGAAAAAGCAATGGAGACGGAGAAAACTGAGCCGCAACCCATGTCCAAGAACGCTAAGAAGAGGCTCCTGAAGCAGCAGAGATACGAAGCGAAGAAAGCGGAGAAAAAGGCCTTGGAGAAAGAGCAGAAGAAGAGAGAAGTAGAGCGAAAGAGAAAAGAGTGGGATGAGAAATTGGCGAGTGTGAGCCAGGAGGAAAGGGAAAAGCTGATCGAGGAAAGAAAAGGGCTGCGAAAAGAACGAATGGAAAAACGGTCAGAAGAAAGGGAAAATAAAATCAAGAAACTTAACGAAGCGAAAAGTAATGGCCAAAATGTTGTTATTGATCTCGAATTCGCGCATCTGATGAACTCTTCTGAGCTCAATAGCCTCGTTCAACAGGTCGTCTATCTTCTTATTTTCTTATTTTTTGGGGAAATTATTGTTTCGAATGTAAATGCGACGTCGTTTAACTGAATGTGAACTTGCTCCGTATTCTAGGTGAAAGAAGATTATAATGACATTCTAGAAATAAAATTCTAATTCATGAGGCCTGCGTTACAACAATTGAGTAAAATGGCACTACGAACTTTCAAAAATAGAAAAGATTAATTAAAAGTCAGAATTTAAATCAATAATCTTTATGAACAGGGTGCAGTTTTTTTTTTTTCAATAAAAATAAAATCTGTTCACAATTATTTACTGAAAGCCTCTGGAACAAGCGTATAATTCAAGAATATATGAAATACCAGTTTCAAAATTCATAATTTTTCCAGAGAACTGATTGAATTAGGGCACGTTCTTGGAAAAATTGTACATAATTGTCATTCTGCAATTGTTTGAAGCTGAGAAACTTGAATATATATATGGCCATCTAACACCGGGTATAGAGTGTAGAGAAATTTCGTGCATATAAATTAATCCAATGGTTGAAATTTGCCTTCAAAGTTTTTGAAAGTTGGACCTAAACTTCTCTGCAATTTATATGGACTGTTTTAGAGTAGCAGTCAAATCATTGCATATCTGTTGTGGTCCAATCCTGTTGCCTTTGTTCAGCTCATCCCTTGATCCAATTTAATGTTATTTGGAGTATATTATCATTTTGGTGATGGTTTCTTTTCGTTAGAAGCTAAGCTGTGTTGATTTTCTGGCAAATATTTATCATTAGACTCTTAGTCAATTCAAGAAGAAGCTAATTCCAATTGATGGAACTTGCAGATTATGTATTGTTATGCTGTAAACAGCAGATGTGCTTCTCCGGCCCATCTTTGGTTGACCAGCTGTGTCGGAGAAATGCAAAATCATCTCCAGCGGCTCCCTGGATATGATAAATGGGTAATTGAGAAGGAGGATCGGTCTTATATTGAAGCATTTCAAGATCAGAAAGAAAAGTTAGTATATCTCACTGCAGATTCTGAAAATGTGCTGAATGAACTGGATCCAAGGGCAATATATATCATTGGTGGGTTGGTGGATCGGAACAGGTGGAAAGGAATAACTATGAAGAAAGCAGAAGAGCAAGGGATTCAAACTGCAAAACTCCCAATAGGGGATTATCTGAAGATGTCTAGTTCTCAGGTGTGTTTGGCTTTACTTTTCTTAATTTGACAATATTTATTGGTTTCTATCCAGAGTGCTTTCGTTTAACAAAAGAATGTTGCATGTGCAAATATAGCTTGCAATAGTCAGCTTACTTTTGGTGTACGTTTGGTAAACTTAGAAGTTGAAATGAATAATATTTTTGTTCATCAAAGCTAGTGATTGGCAATAAAACCACGTGATTAAATTTTTTGCCCTTCAGATTTCTTTGATTAGTTTTTCTCATGTTGTGTTCTTCTTGTCTTTTCCAATTTGGTGTGCCCCCTTCTGAAGGAATATTTTTCATTCAAGTACAGGTCCTTACTGTGAATCAAGTGGTAGAGATAATCCTCAAGTTCTTGGAAGCAAAAGATTGGAAGGATTCATTCTTTCAAGTCATTCCTCAAAGGAAAAGATGTGATGCTGACTTGGGAGAGTGTGATGGAGAGAGAGAAGGGAATGAAAGTGGTGAAGAGAAAGATGAGAAAGAGATTGGAACCATAGAAGGTGAAGATGTTGAAAATAAAGATGATCTAAAGGTAAAAAGGCAATGCATTGAAACTTAGATTTTGGTTAGTGTATCTTATTATGAATCAATTTGTCCTTTCCTTTTTGATAATGAGAAGGAAATAGTTCGAGCGCATGATACGTGATACCAAAATCCAGTAGGCAATTACCATAAAGAGACCGGTTTGCTAGATTTTGACTCAATATTTATATCTAGGGGAGAGGAAAACATGGTTCCTCACTAATTCTTGTTTTTGGTTTCTGGTTTGTGAGACAGAATTGTAATCTGAGCAGAATGTTTTTCCTCTTATTTTTCACACCATTATCTTGAGTAAAGATATCTCCACATTGCAAAATTTTGAAGGTGCGTCAATATTTCGTGTTTGGCCTTATTTTATATTCTATGAAGTGCATTTTGGAGTACAAATACCTTCTTTATCTTTGCCTTTTCTGTTTTTTTCACAGTTCCAGCTTTGATTCGAACTACAAAATTTACACAGAATTTGTTCAACTTATCTGAAATTGTTTCTACAGTCACATAAACAAACGTTTTCAATTTGGGGAGGTTGCTCTTTTTAAAAACTAATTAACATAATATGAAAAATTGCACCACTGATCCCAACTTAGTGTTTCAGGAACAAGTTTGTCCTCAACGTTTTGGCATAGTCTCCGCTAAATTGAAAATGTGGCTTTTGTAGGTTCACGTTCAGGTTTTGTTTCTCAATTCATATTGGTACTTGAAAATTTGAAGTTAAGCCCATGTTTGATCTCCATTATCTAATATTCATTTTTTCCTCAATTCATTTTCAATTACACTTTCTCACAGTAAAATATTTTGTATCTAAATCTTAAAAAATTTCTATTTGTTAACAACACGTTCTCCAAAAATTCACCAAAATTTATTTTAAACAAAAAGTTGGAGCTCAAACATAGGCTAAGTTTCCCCGAGAGCCATATGACTAAGAAATAGTTTTTGTAACCCGCCCCGAATGGGGGGAAAAAAATCTGTCCCGACGGGTTGGCGGGGCGGGGAGGGGGTGCCCCTCCCCGAAGCGTCCCGAACCCGTCCCATGAAGAATAAAAAAAAAATAATTAACTAAAAAAATAGTTAATTGGAAGTTTTAAAAAAAAAAAAAACATAAACGGGGCAAGCCCGTGCCCCAAACCCGCCCCGTCTAAGGTGGGGAGGGGCGCGGGGCAGGGTGGGGCGAGGGTGCCCCAACCCGAACCCGTCCCGTTGCCATATCTAAGTAGAAGTTTTATTTTTACCCACACATTTCACGAGATTCAAAACTTTTCAATCGTATATTTCATCATTTTTTGTCAAATTTTACTAAAAATCTGATTTTATTCTACACAAAAAAGGTACTTAACTTGTAGAAGAAAAAGAAGCAATGAAATCATAAACAACATTACTGCTCATTAGTACTCAAAGTGGGCAGCAGGAAATCATAAACAACATTACTGCTCATTAGTACTCAAAGTGCAGGGGCTGGCTTTTTTTATACCGAAAACTGACTGAAAACTTACATGAATCCATTACATAAGATCGAAGGTTTTTGTTTTTTCTTTTACTACCCCCTCTTAGCAAATTCTAAACCTGCTTCTTACTGTGGGTAGGGGTAGAGGGATCAATGCCAGCCACAGCAGCCTGGGATGGACCAGCATTTGATGGATCCTTGAGGAAACCATTCATTGGAGGAGCTCCAAAGAATCCATGGTGAGGAGCCATTGAAAAGGGCACCGGTGGAAACGTCACGTAACCATAAGCGCCTGGGTCGACGGCCCTCTTCACCAGTGGCTCACCAGTCAACGAGCCCCGTTCACCGCCATCATATTCCCGGTAACGATGCAGGTACAGAGTCAGTGGCTCCATGTAGTCATCAAATCCCTCGAACGAGTACCGGGTTTCTTGTACTTCAGCAGTGATGGTCTTGCGTTGCTCCCTCTGGCAACGATCATTGGCTTCGCTAGTTATGAACCCAATGAATTCAGAAACACACTCTTGGATGGTTTCCTTAGCATCGTCCGATATTTTTGCATGTTGAGGGAGGATTTTGCGCATGATTCTGATGACGTTCGCTATTGGCATGAAGCGATCTTGCTCCCGAACGGTGCATTCAGTGTCATCACTGGTGTTTGTAGTATGGTTCATCTGAGGAGGCATCTCTGGTGCTTTTGTACCTATGCATGAATATTCAAATGCAGTTATCAAGTTTCTACATTACATCCATATACTCCAAAGTCCAAAAACAGTTCCTACATTGTTAAGTACAAACTCAATCTATAGGCCAATGGGCCTAATACTGTTGGCTTAAAGACAGTTGTCCAAGACTTTCAGTCCACTTGGTCCATCAAAAGAAATCGAAACGGATAATAGCCCACACTGAAAAGTGGTCCCTTTTATTTTGTTCATTTGACTCCAAATTATAGCAAATAAGTAGAAGACAAATATTGTTGAAAAGCAAATGAAAGCAGCAGAAACTGCTAAAAGTCTTGATGTTAGTCATTAATTTTGTCACGTAGTCAATTAAAAACATTCATGTGAAACCTCTCCGTGATAATCAAAAATCAAAACAAACCCAGTCAAGGTTTTGTACTCCTCAATGTACATTTTGTGTGTATATATTTGATTTTAACCAAATCTCCTCAGACAGGTGTTGGAACTTGATGCGGGCTTTAAGAATGAGTGTTCCTTATTTTGCATAAAATATTGGTATATGAACAGAGAAACATGCCCTGAAAGGAAATAAAACATCTCTGATAATTTGCAGGTACAAATCTAGTGCAAAATAAGCCTGGTTTGGAATTGTGGCTGAGAATGCATGAGTGACATATGGTAACATACTTCTGTGGGTCAAAGACAGCATGCATGCCACTTGGTATCGGTTTGTCTTCTACAATTCCATCAGCCATTTGCAAAATTCATAGCTACTGTTAGGATATCTGTCGTTTCTAATGAATCATCCTTCATAAAGAAATTAACACCGTGTGAGTGTGTGTGTGAGAGAGAGAGAAGAGAGAGAGTTCTTTTTCCTGGTGGTGTGGGGTTGACAAGTGAAGAGCACTTGTGGATCAAAGAACTTTTTATGGAGGAGAAAGAAAGAGGAATATGAACATGAAGAATAATAAGACCATAGAACCGGAAAAAAAAAGAAAGAAAAAGGCCATGCGCTATAAACTAGAAGAAACTGTATGTCTGTGTATGCTCTGTGTGGTTGTGAGAGAGAAAATTCAAAAGACAAGCAGACTAATTAAACGGAAAAGAAGACTAATTACACATATTTAACAACACAAGAATGCCTTAAAGTTCTTGAGAGAGACCTTACTCAAAAGAAGTATGAAAATGTATTTTTCCACTCTGTGTGTACATTTAAACCCACACACACCCACAAAAAGAATAGAGCGCATGCTGTATATAAGCCAACATGGGAATATCAAACAGAGTTAAGGACATATATAAACCCTAAATTTGAGCTTTACCACCGGAGCTACTCTGTGGCATCGCCCTGCGGTAGCCATGGAAGCCTCCATTTCCTCCTCCGAGTTCCATCTCTCACTCTCTCTCTTCAAATTTGTTTTGAATCTGAAATGTGAAAAGAAGTAAATGAGAATTGTCAATGTTTATAAAGCAAAGACTGAAAAGAATACACACAACACGTGGCAGCAGGCGTTGTGAACAAGGCGAAGGTATTCGCCGGTAAAAAATAGGCCTTCACAGTTGGGCTGCACTGGGAACATTGACCGGCAGACATAAGAAGCCATTTTAATGTGTATGCTTTATATATATGTGTGTGAATTTTAATGTTGGACCTTGTAATAAGCGAGGGTGACAAGTTTATATTATTATTATTATTATTATTATTGCTTCAATTTTCATTGCATTTTATCAATGGTATCAAAATCAATCACATTTCGATTCATGATAAAATGTCGTGTGCATTAGTCTACGTGTATAAAAAAAATAAAAAATACACCAATCATCAATTATTTACTCTCAATAATTAATTAATTCGAACAGTTCATTCATTGAGGAGCTTTTATGTCGAATTATTTAATCTTAATCATAGATGACGTGTTCAATAAATGAATAAAAAGATAAAACTTTATTTTTATTTATTCAAATATTTAATGACTCGGGTATGGAATTGAATCCCGAACAATTTCAAATTAATTATCAAATATTTCGAACTTCATGAAGTTGTGATACTAAAGGGCTTTGACAGTTTCAAATTAATTATCAAGATAAATGTCTTCAATAAATGAAAATAAGACAGAGCTTAATGTATTTCATCTATTACGAAACTTTAATAGCTCCATTTTTCTTTTGTTATTACTGATATGGAATTGAATGCTGAATAATTTTTAAATAATTATCAAATATCTCGAATTTCACAAAGGCGTGACAAAAAAAGCCGGATTCAATTATTTTATGCTATAGAATTATTTATTAAATACATTAGTTGTAAAATTATCAAGCACTCAGTTGAGAATTTAAGTTCATCTCAAATTCAAACTATTAAAAATTTGATTTTAGAGAAATTGGATATAATATTTAAGCTAGAATGACAAGTTTTGGCTTTAATTTTCATTGCCTTTTACAAGTACTATTAAAATTCAATCACAACGAATAATACATTTTGATTAATGAACGACGACTCAAGAAAACGCATATTTCTCTCCCCAAGCCGTGGCCAACCTTCCTTCAATCAATTTATTGACCTACGAATTTGCTATTGTGCAACATGAGAGAAGTAAGGAGGTCAACCTCTTTCTACATAGAAAAGTCACGAAATAATGCCTCGTACACGAGTACCGATCGTTGTGTACGAAAAACAAAAAACACGGAAATTTCCAACTACTTACCTCATTAATTATGCAATTAATTCGAGCAATCCACTTAACGACCGGCTTTTATGTTAGATCGTGTAATTTAACCATTGATGACCTTTTCAATGAAAATGAGATAAAACTTTATTTCATTTATTGAGAAACTTGTAATTGCTCTATTTTTCTTTTGTTATAACTCGTATGAAATTGAATGCCAAATTATTATCAAATACTAGGTGCAAGTAACGTGCAATGCACGTTTGCTTAGTTTATATTTAATAGTTTTGTTTAAGAATTAATTTGTAATTAATAAAGATGTAATTTTTTGGTTAATTAAATAATTAATGATGTAATGTTTATGTAATTGATAAATAATCAGATGTGTGATTTTGATATTGTAGTGTAAGTTGGTGAGATCGAAGAAAATAAGCAAAAGTTGACAAATTTGGAGAAATGACTAAATTGTAAGGGATCCAAAGTTCGGGAGACTAAAATGTAAATACTTAAAAGTTGTGTCGAACCTTACGATGAAGATTTGAGAGTGCTCGGAGTCAATTGGATAAAGGAATACGTCAATGGAATCAAATTTAGTCAAAAGATGATCACAAATCAATTTCCAACCGAAAAGTTATGCTCCGATATTTTAGTCTAATTTCCAACTACTTACCTCATTAATTATGCAATTAATTCGAGCAATCCACTTAACGACCGGCTTTTATGTTAGATCGTGTAATTTTAACCATTGATGACCTTTTCAATGACAATGAGATAAAACTTTATTTCATTTATTGCGAAACTTGTAATTGCTCTATTTTTCTTTTGTTATAACTCGTATGAAATTGAATGCCAAATAATTATCAAATATTTCGAATTTCACATAATCGCAACAATAAAAACTGAATTCCATTATTTTATGCTATAAAAAATTATTAAATGCATCAGTTGTAAAATTATCAAGCGCTTAGTAAATACTAAAGTTTAAGTTCATCTCAAATTCGAACTTTTAGAAATTTGATATTCTTATTATGAAAACGATCTCAAAATATGTAAGTATTCTCCCGTTTTAATTTGTGGATGGTATGGAAATTTTTCAAATGAGAATCATTCGTTTATTTTTTTGGATCTCTATTTAATTATATCATAATGTATTGCATTTCCTCAAAACAATTTTTTTCCATCTTTTCACATTTTTNACAATTTTTTTTCCATCTTTTCACATTTTTTTTTTATGAATCGAAAGTTGAAGCAATTTTAGTATCTGATATTTTGTAATTTTTTAGATATTTTTTTGGATCTATATCTCTTCAAAGCATTCAAAGTTCAATCAATAAAGTTTGTTATTATTTTTCTCAACAGATTTTACAATATGGAAGAATATACATAATGGTGTTGGTGCAAAAACGTACAAATTGGTGTTGGTTACCTGCCCTTGTGGTCTTGATTTGTGCTGCTACTGTTAGCATTACGTTTTACAAACAACTTTACTAACGTTTTTTGGTTTTATTCATGTATTTATTTCCAACCTTTCTATGAAAACTAAAAGGTGGTAGCTTTCGATTGTCCCTTCGTTCCCATTGTCTACATAGTTCCTGAACAAATACAAAGATGATGAGCCATTTTCATGGCCACGCCACCATTGTGAAGAAGATGTTTTTGGCGTTTCTCGGCTTCTTTTGCCTTGGAACTCCCGCAGCAGCCAGGTGGCAGACGGGGACTCTTGAATTCTCCGGCCGAGAAGAATTAGCGACCTGGAGTGGATACGGAGAAGAGAAGCTCTCCAGAGTTATATTCTGCGGCAAAATTCTCTGTCAAGCTAATAGACATGACAAAGCCCCATTTCATTCATATTCCGTCTCAGGTTTGTGTTTAATTTCAATGTGAAATCACTGAGTAAGTGAGTATCGACAACTACAAGAGTATTCGTAATACAGAATGATGTCTGTCTAAGATTGTATTCAACAAGTATAGGAAAAGGCAAACAGGAAATTTAGTTAAACCTTAGTTAGTTCAGTTCAACCGGTTGGTTGACTCATCCCATTTTTAGTTGGGTTGGTAATTATTGTTAGGAATATTGAGCCTAACTTCACCTAATAAAGTCGGCTTATTAGGGGAGGATTGCCCTCACCTTATTAAGTTGATTATTTTCTCAGCACAGCGTGGATCATGCCAAACAATTGTGAATAAATCGATATTGTGTGGCACCCCACATTAGATAATTGGGCCTAACTCTGATACCATGTTAGGAATATTGAGTCTAACTCCACCTAATAAAATCGGTTTATTATGGGAGGATTGCCCTTGCGTTATTAAGTGGATCATTTATATTTTCCCAAATAATGTGGGATTCTAATAATTATAAACCTTAATTCTAAATCGGATAGTGGTTAAGGGGGCTAATCAGCCCTTAATTGTATAAATCATCCCAATTATTACTTTTGCAAGTGCGCAGGTGGCTGTTATATGCAATACTAGTACGAAGAGAAGGAAGATAGGGGCAAAAGGCACCACAGAGTATGGAGAATTCATCATTGAACTTCCTTCTCATCTCCACGCAATTCACAACTTGGAAAAACTATGCCTTGTTAAAGTTTTTCATCTGCCAAAACGTTCTGCTTGCTGGCAAGAGAAACTCGAAAAGATAGAACTCACGTCAACAGGCGATGGTATACGTAGTTATACGACGTATGACATGTATTTGATGTCTAAACTCCTGAAAGTGCGCATTAGTGAGGCGGCAAAGTCAGATGTAATGATAAATAACCTGTAACAAAATGGAGCAAGGAATTAGCCGCAGCTTGTGTGGATGGCGCCTTAGTCACACTATGAGTTACAGGTCTCGTCCTGCCCTGCTGTTGAATGAAATTGTAAACTGTTGTAGCTGAGAGTCTGTGTGTACGCGTGTGCATCAAACGACATGTAAGTCTAGCATATATCTTCACTTCTTTAACAGGGAAACCAAAGAATGATGATTTAAAACTGAGACGAATTTTGGAATATGCTTCATTCAAGAGTACAATTCTCCTCCAAGTTGTTATAATCGAGTTGATCAGAAAAAATTGAAACTGAAGGACAATATTCATCAAATCGAAACTTGGAGGATGAACTTGATAAGTACTCAAAGTTTGATAAAACGTAAGAAGAGGAAAAACACGATTTTCCCTTTGTGCTGCAAATTCTCTCTCCTTGCTGTTTATCGTGTTGAGCACTACCCTTCCTTGATCTGTTTAGTTGGCATTCCATTATCTTAGGGATTTTCAGCATGAATAATTGATTGTGCAAGGCCAGATTGTACAATCCATTTTCAGATATTTAGCAATGTTAGATTCATATAGTGTATGTATAGGTCTCTTGTTATATATAGCCCTGTTTTTTGCTGTAATGTATAATTCAAGTTTTTGAGTTGTAATTCTTGGAATTCCTCAGTAAAGACCTATCTTCTCGTTGATATTTTATCTAGATCGACAAAAAAGTGCACAAATAAGAACTAAAGAAAGTACTGAAAAAGTAAACTTGATTAATCGTTGCCCTAAGGCAATAATCCAAATTACACCAGTGTCTCAGTCATTTAAACAACCATCGTTCAAAATGGAACACAACCAACATAAAGATGAACAGATCTAGACACAGACAGTAACCACTAAAGATCACAGTAAATTAGCCTTCACTTAAAACACTTGTTCACACAAGAACATCGCATTCTACTCAAAATAGAAATTACTCAAGATTACAACAATTGAGAGAAACCACAAATCAAGAGAGAGTTTTGATTTTTTAGGGAAAATGAGAGTCGAGCTCGAACGGCACAGAAGTGAAAAAATCAGAGAGAGTGCACAATTCCAACCCTAGGAGGCTATTTAAATGAGTCACCCAAAAGTCTCCATCTAACGGTTGTGGGGGATGACACTTGGCGACATCTGGAGCATCCATTTCAAATAAGGGAAAAATACGGCTTTACTAATTGAAACACGACTTTGCACCAATTCAACAATCAATGAATCAGTCGACTGGTCAACATTCCAGCCAACAGGTTAATTGGCATCATTATGCCAACCTTTCAAGTGGAATTCACTACATAAATAACAGAAAATGGCACTCAGAAGCATGTCCAGCGTGCAACTGACTACTAAGAAATTAATCCCCTGGCACTTTTGATACTGAAAAGGCCCAAACCACACACAATATTAAACCAAGATACAAAGAATCAATCAAAACAGAAAGTAGAAAAGTTGCAGAAATTAAAAGATTCAACACAAGAATTATTTCGGCCTAAGTCTCGGAGATTCGGCGACCAAATCTAACGCCTACATCCCACATTGAGCATCCATTAAATGGATAAACGCCTGGTTGCACTATCAAGCCCAAAATGGCAACACAAGTTACAGATCGTTCTTCAAAATACAAGAGAAAAGGCACAAAAGCGCTTATCTCTAACACCAAACTGCAGATGACTGCAAGAAATCTCTTATTCTCGCAACTATCACTCAGATAACATATTACAGAGAATAAACCACTAAAAAGATCTCAGTTTACAAGGTTCATCATAAGGGATGAAGAACACAATCTCTCAAACCCTAACTTTAGAGAGACAAAACTCAGAAAAACCTAGAAGAACGGCGGAAAGAGAGAAGTCAGGGAATCAATGAGTAAAATCTCGAGTGTTGGTATTTATATCATACATCAACCAACCACAGATCCAATGGTCAGCAAGAGACCACGTGTCACCATCAGGATAGAAGTTAATCACTAAAAGAAACGCCTTTTAGTAAAACACGACTTTGCCAATTTTGGGAGCACACATCATGGATCCAGGGTTCGAGCCTCAACAGATACATTCAGGAACTCTCTGAAATTCTCTGATAAGCATCAGAAATGATACATTTAGCAACGTCAGTACAACATTTAAGCTTGTTTACTTCCAAATCAGATATCTCAATGGAGAATTCTTGCTCAAAAGCCATGACAAGTTCCACTATGTTCAGGCTGTCGAGGCTTAAGCCCTTCCAGAAATCAGTTGTTCTGGTAAACCTGAAATACACGAAACATTATCATAATCAGTTTACCTCACAAAACGCTCCTAACGTATACGAGTAACGAGTCCATGTTATCATTGCTCGAAAATCATATACTAAAGAAGGATAAAGGATATATCATGACAACAATTGACTAGCTAATTACCTCAGCAGCATTGATCTTGTTAAATTTCTTCACCAACTTAATAACTCAAGCAAAAAACATAAAAAAAATTCTAATTACTATTGAAATTGATTCTTACATATTTAGGGATAACAACGTAAAGGGTCACCACATCCCCGCTCCCTGCCCCCACTGGGATTCCTGTCTTCGATTACTTCTCTGATCATATTTATTTATTTGTTTTTTTCCTTAAATTTTTAGGGGTAACTTGGGAACTGAACTGGGGCATAAAAATGTTGGGCTAAAGTATTTTTAAACTGTCTTTGATTTTTATTTTTTATTTTTTAACTAGATAATCTGGAAGAAGAGGGGTTATGTACGGCGTGGATTTTTCGGGTCAAATTATCATCCCTATACATATTATCTATGTCGTACATATTGAAACTAAGCCCCCGTTTGAAAATCGTTATTTTAGAAAAACATAGTTTTGAATAGTGATTTTTAAGAGAATGTGTGGTGAAAAAGTGAAAAAAAAATTAATTTTACATGCAGAATATTTTATTATGTAAATATGTGGTTGAAAATGAGTATGTAAAAAAAGAATTTTCAAATAATGATCGTCAAACGGGTGCCAAATGTGAATAATATTTCCCAAAGTAAAAAAAATATATAATTAAAGATCTATCTCAATTGGAGTATTTGCAAATAACCAATAAAAATTGAAATATTTCTTGCCATCAAAGTCAATTCGTACAAAAAAATCTGAAATCTCCAAGAAAAATTTTAAACATAAATTATTTTATCATTGGTGGAGCCAAGATGGTGCAACTTTTGGTCCCCAATTAGAAAAGGACAGCTCAAAATTCTCTTCCTTTGCTGCCATTTTCATTAGCCTCATCATTTTATATGATGATAAAGACATATAACCACCACCCTTTCAATATCAATATTCTGTTGCATAAATCATTTCCTCCAATAATAATTTTGTTTAACCCAAACTTTGGTAAAAGGTTAAGCTACAACTCATTTTGGAAATTTTAAAGTTTTCGTACGGTCCCAAACAAGGATTTTTTTTTATCATTAACTTGTATTCTGCAACTGTTGTGCAACAGTATGACTATCAAAATGTATTGAATTGAAATGTCCGTGTGAGTTGAATCTATAAAGCTTCGCGTTTTCTTATATTTTAACGAATCCTATGAAATGTGTAAATATATGGCTTTAAACGAATTTATAGTTGTATCCAAATTGAGGCTAGAGTGGCACGCATGGGAAGCAGGCCTAGTCCAAGTTACACCCTATCAATAAATTGTCTTAGCTACGTAAGCTATAAGCTATTGCTCAATTTCATCCATAGTTCAAAGGAAATTTTCGTTCTAGTTGTCATTGTTGAATACCCTTTTTTTCCCACTCGGATCATTGTGCATTTTCTTCATAATTTGTCTGATACATGAAGAAAAGGATACATTTTGGACACGTTTTCCTTTCTCTAATTTAAGTATACATAATTTTCTATTTCACAAACTAAGTACACAAATTATGGATTGTTTGTATATTTTGATTCATGCGAACTTGTTCATCAAGTTATATATCCATTAACTCATCAATGCTTAAGGAGGTACGATTGAATGTTCATACTTCCTTTTTATTCGTACTCATGATCTTATTATAAGTACGTATAGTCTAATTTGATAGCACGTCATACTCCTTTAACATGATTGGCGAGTGATTCGATCCATTAGGAAGAGTAACGATTAGGGTAGCTCTTCCAGTCACGATAGCAGTTTCTTTAAGCTTCAAAACCTTTGATTCCTGATCTTTTTATTCTTTCTACGAATCTTGTGCAAGTTGAACTTGACATTTCAAGTAGTCGAGCATCTTGCTCCCTTTTTCAAACTTCCAAGTTTCTTAATTTCGCAAACCATCATAGTCTTATACTTTAGGAAAAAGATATATGAAGAGAGGAAATCCTACTGGATGTTTTACAGGTGCTTCTAGCAGCACCTAGTTGGTTACTTAGAGCTTGTTTGGTAGGGATTTTGGGGGAAGAATTAATTTTTGAATAGTGATATGATTGGAAATGTGTGGTTGAAAAAGAAAAAAAAAATTATTGATGTAATGGAAAATATTATTTTATTGAAGAATGTGTGGTTGAAAATGAGAATTGATTCTCAAATAAAAAACAAACACCCCCATAGCCTCTTCGGCGGGATTAAAATCATTTTTTAGTAAATTTTGATAAAAATTGATAAATGCATAATTGAAAAATTATTAATTCCATAAAATATTTGGTTAAAATTAAGTCTCCTTTTAGGTTCCATTAAAAATAGATTCAAAAAAACAAAAAGATTTTAAAATAATGATTTTTTGAAGAATATGTGGCTTAAAAATAAGAATTTTTTTTAAAAATTTAAGTATAATATTATTTTATTGAAAAATGCTTGATTAAATGTATAAAAATAAAAAATACATTTTTTCCCCCTAAAATGGAAACGAAATGGGGTTAATTATTGATTTTAAATTTAATTTTAATTCCTGTAAATTGTGAGCAAAATTTTAATCACTGTGTACGCGAGTTTGTCAATTACACGTACACCTTCTTTTTCATTTTTCTTTTTATACACATTGATTTTG